GGTGGTTGGTGGGTGCTCTGGTGTGGTTTGCTCCTTCATTCCTATCTAAGATATACCGTTCTGATCTCTCCGCCTTTTTTATGTTTGTTACTCTCTTGTAACACCTCTAATCTTCGGCATTTATATGACTTTATTGTGTTGCAATTGCCGTAAAACTCTTACTGAAACTGAAAGAAGGAAAATCTGTCTGGCCCCGACTTGATCTAACGAATCCGATTGGCAGTAGGAAAGGTTGTACATAAAAAGACATTGCTGCTGCGAGATACAAGGCACGCTGTTAGTTTTGTGGACAAACGACTTAATCATATCCGCCCTGGGGTCATTTTGTACCCGCCAGGGGTTGTATTCTTCACATTTTAGAATACTTCTACAACGAAGATCTCTTTGAAACTTTCAGTATTTCTTTTTTAAAAATCATTTTGACAGCCTACTATGCAAAGCGCACGGATCGGATTAATGAGTAAATTTCCTCTTTGGAAAATGGTGGCACTGATTTCCCCACGTCGTATGGGTCTATACGATAGTAAAACACGACGTACGGGGGTGATTTGGCACCAATGCCTATCAATCCTTTTCGAAAGCAAATACGAAAAACTCATTTCAGAATAGACCCAGTACGCATGTTCCAAGAAAGTATCTGTTTGTGAATGTGACGTTTACCTTATCCTTGAAAAATGATAAGTCACCTGAAACAAAATTTCTACAAATTATTTGGAAATCATTCATTCTTTTTAACTCGCTATTCCGAAGTCAAATTGTCATATTACATAGAAAATACCATTACAATTTGAATGAATGGGTTTTTTAAAATCCTGCTCAGTTCTCTGTATCATATTGAGATTTGAAAATATTGTTTTTCCCTACAAAGTTGCGACGGAAAAAAGATATATTTCAAGAAACACATACCTGTTTTAGACCTGAGTAGTGAGTAGACTACAGCACGAAGTTGAATGAAATGCCTGTCAACAGTAGATACCGTACGGGCCTTGTTTAATCAACTCTGAACCTCTTCCACTGCAGCTAGATCTAGTCAAAGTATCTCCCAGGGCACTCACTTCACCATCAAAAGAAAGCTTCTTGTGGGAGCAGTGTGGCTGAATGTTTGTTGCGTACTTGCAATCAGCTTGGGTGCACACGCTACATCAATGCTTCACTGCTTTGGAGGACTGATACCCTGCTTCAAGATGGGACTAAATCGATAGTCTCAAATTACTCAATGGGTGTTAGGTCAAGAGAAAGTTGAGGAGACGGGGCATTATCGGGAGAAGACGGGGGGTCGATATTGGTCTAGACATTTTTTTTCAAGCCGTTAGCCTCGTAACGTAATGTAGTCTTGGGATAAATCAGTCCTACAGTTAACCTATATTTGTGTCTTTCTTTTGGTTTTGGCTTCTTTTTTCACTTTTTCTTTTGGGTTGTGTTTATTTATTAATTTTTTTTTTTTATTAT